CCATCGTTATATAATGATAATAGAACAAGGCTTTTCACCTTCTGGTGGGTAAGTACCCAAGCATTTCCCACAGAATCAGATTTCCCAAACAAAGCAGCTTCCAAAGAATCAGATTTTCCAAATAAAGCAGCTTCAAAATGATAGTGTATCTTTATTTTCTGCAGAACCGGTTCAAGGGATGCTACGACTTGCTATGTTCAGGGTTTATCCAAATCACCAATAAAATTGCACTCGGAGGCGCCCTCTCCCCTCTATCCATCTACCATGGCGAGCAATTTGACATCGATGTATTTGTTTTGAAGGTAGTACGACTCAAATTGATCGCCCTGAACCAAATTATCTACTAGCAAAATAGGAATGTTGCACAAGCTATGACTTTCAGAGTTGTAGACCAACCTTATATTTTTACCCTCATATTTTAGGTATTTTTGCTGCTTGATTTTCAGACACTCTCATGATTATTTAAAATATCGAATGACAAAAATATTGATTGAGAGAGTTTTACATGTGTTTGCAACTTTTAAACTTACTGCATCTACCAATGTTTAAGATCATTCAAATAATTTTTCAGTCTATAGAAACATATATGTACTCCATAGATGACCAAAGATACTTACATGTAAGTACAATCTAGATTCACTTGTGCACATGAAGTCTAAACAGTTTATAACTTTCTATTAGCTTAACCAAAATTTTGGGTTGAAATTTGTTGTAATTTGCTAGGATGCATCTCAAGATGTTTGGTGGCTACAAGTTGGCAAAGAAACACTTGGTTACTGGCCAACTTCCTTGCTTCCAAACCTAGCAAACAGTGCTTCAACGATTTTATGGGGTGGAATAGTTTTTGACTCAGAGTCAGATGGGCAACACACTACTACACAAATGGGCAGTGGCCATCCTCCTGAAGAAGGGTTTGAAGGGGCAAGTTATATGAAGAATCTTCAAGTAGTGGTTGAATCAGACAATTTAAGTCCCCTCAGTAACCCAGTCGCCATCGCTCAGCAACCATATTGCTACAATATAACACTTGGAAAGAGCTCTTACTGGGGAGATTACATTTTCTATGGAGGACCTGGGAGAAATCCTAATTGTCCATGATCAAGTTCAAAGGATTTCACTGTGTTATGCATTTTCTTTATGGCCCAAATCTTTTGTTTCGAGAAATTGGGTCCTAGTGTTTAAGTTTCTGTTTCTCCGCAATAAGCCAGACGAGGATGAGATGGTCTAGTTTCTTGATGAAAAGAATAAGAAGCTTTTTGTGTTCTCTTGTGTGAATTGTAAAGCTTCTCTTTGTACTTGAACTGGGAAAATAAGAAAGTTGTGACTTTGAAAGTTGCTGGCTATTGTAAAAGAATGTTTTCCTAAGGCTTTTTTTTTAAAAAAAAAATTGGATGCTTAATAAGACTAATCAACACACCTAATTTATCATGTGAATATATTCACTGATAATTATTATCTTCCATTGCATTTATACAATTTCCTTAATTAACTTTACTTTTTTTTAAAAAGTTAGCACTTGAACTACACGTGTTAAGGATTACTTAATGAGTATTGGTTGGACAGATCCTATATATAAGCATGGATGCAAACACACACACACACACACACACACACACACACACACACATATATATATATATATATATTTTTAAAAAAATCTATATCTATTCTATCTCTTTATCTATAAATTTCAGGTTTATTTAGCCTCCAATTTTTAAACACTCATGCGTATCTTTAAATCTCATGTGATGAAAAGTACTGACGAATAAAGTTTTGGTAACGATTAAGAGAGTTTTATACTTGTATGTGCACGTGTGTGTTTTGCATCTACGAATTATTATATATTTTGTGTTTGTTATAAAACCTTAGAAAATTTGAAAGTGACAAAATTGTTATTTCAAGGAGAAAAAAAGTCTTTCTTGTGCAGAAATGAGAAGAGTCGAAGGAGACATATATTGTACTGTAGCAACATTAACAAGAAGAAACTACACTTAATGACTTGTCTCTGGTGAAAATTAGATACCCTCAATAATCTACTTGTTTCTAATTAGTTTATGGATTTTTTTCTAAAAAGCCACTTTTTGGCACTATTTAGTAAAACGTAATTTGCACTCAAGTTGTCATTTGAAGATACAAGCTTACATTTATTGACACCTTTGTATTTTGATACTTTTTCATTTTTTTTTAATGTAAGTGGGAGATGTCGAATCCGAAAATTTTCACTCACACTCTCTTCTCCCAAACCATTCAACCCATCCCTCTCTCTCTTTTCCAGTTAAATTTACTTCGCCAAAAATAAAACACTTGAAATCTATCTTAAAAAGTGTCCACCAAACACCATTTTATATTGAAAATCATTATAAGATATAATTTAAGCAAAGAAAATCATAATAGTTTGAAAGAATGACTTGTTACTATATTTACAGTTTGGATATGTGGTTTGTTGAATTAAAAGATGTTTATTAGGCATAATGGCCTTAAAATTTGAAAACTGAAGAATAAGCCTAAATACATATTTTGCAATGTTGTAATAGAAACTGAAAGAATTGAGTGTTCTTAATTTTTGTTCCAACTGAATTCATCAATCAATTCCAAATTTGGTTCTGTAAATAATCAATTTAGTATTTTTTAAATTTGGAATCAAAATCAATACAAGTTTTCCTAAAAGTAAAATTACTTAAAAAATCCAAAATCATTTTGCCCTATTATGGTTTTATGATCCCACTTTGTGTTTGGCCAACTTTGGGTTTCCTTCTCTTCTAAAGGCACTATTGTTTTTAAGAGCTGATATTCTATACACTGACAATGTATGCACCATCATTATTGGATGTATGATAATTTAATTAAATTTAAATTTGATATTCAAATTTTGCTCATTTATTATACTTCCAACTGTGATAAGGTATATATATTACCAGTATATACAAAATTAACTCTATTTTCAAATGCTTATATCTTGAAATGTGTACATGCACACACGCGCCTTGATGGATGTCACCATATAGATATAGGCTTTTCAAAGTCGTTTTGTAGCCCCACATCCAAAAACAAAAAAAACAAAAAAAAAAATCCCCAAAACACTACCAAAACACTAGCACATGCATTTTTTTGGGTAATAACTGGAAAATGCTATAAAGGCGTGGTGTGTTTGCATTTACTAAGGGTCGTTCTTAACAAATTAAATTAAATTAAAGCAACTTGTTTGAAATTGAGCAAGCAACTGAAACTGACACTTTAGTTTTCGTATCATGTTTTTTGATTTATTCACCATATTTTCACATCAGTTTCATTTTCAATTTCAAATAAATTGCTTGCTAATGTGGAGCATAAGCATTAAAAAAGACGTCTATTTAAATTTTGGTTAAGCTCCACTTTGCAACCCAGAACTTGTAGTACTATTTTTCCACTTTATATCATAAACCTTTAAACACTTTGTACCATAAACTCGCAATTTTATATAGTTTAGACTCTAAAATCTCAAGATTGTTCTATTTAAGTCCAATTAATAATAAAGTTCATAAAATTAATGAAATAGAGGATCACAAAAATTAATGACAACGTATTGAAAGTGGTCAAAAGGACAAAGGGATGGCAATTAAAACAAACTGATTAAAAGTTTGCCCCACTTAATAATTAATGTTGATAATAAAATTAAAGAGATAAAAGATGGTGCAAATTAATGACAACGTATTATTTTTTCTAGTTGCGATCTGTTTACTCCTTTTAATCACTTTTGACACATTGGCATTGATATGTGTGATCTTTTATACTGTTAATTTTGCTAACTTTATTATTAATTGGACTTAAACTTAAATAGGACAAATTGAGAGTTTAGAGCATAAAGTGTCCAAAATTAAGAGTTTAGGGTGCAAAATATTCAAAAAAAGTAGTACGAGTTGGGGAATACAATGTGGAGTTAATCCTTAACTTTTTGCCCCAAGTGAACATTTTGGTTCCCTTTTAGAGTTGAAGTGGTAATTACAGCATTGATTCATTCTTTCACCTATCTTTTTCAAGTTTCATTCTTTCTGTTTACCGTACAACGGGGAATTATTTGTTATCAAGATGTGGGCTTTTGTGCATGAGTGGAAGATTTACTACTGTTTACTTACTACATTTTTATAGCAGGGTACATCTGGATGTTTCAAATGAGATTAGAAATGGAGTTAAACTTTGAGACATTTGGATAAAATAAGTTGCCATTGTCAAAAAGTTTTTTCAATTCAGACATTAGTCAGCAAAACCTTAGATCATAATCAGCATCGATCTTTGAGATTTTTGTTTTTCACTCTTTTTTTGGCAATACTCCTGTTGTCTACATCATCTTTTGTTGCACATAATTGTCTAATTAACACAATGACGTATTTTTTGGTAAAATAATGTTCATATTTTCTTGCTTGTGCATTCTCAAGTTATTCGTATCGGATTTTAAAATTTTTGTCGTATTATCTACTTTATTTAATTAATTATACCACAGTATATGGATGGTAATTGAGTAGGTTAGATTATTGGGTTAAATACCAAAAACTCTTACAACTCTATTACACTAGTTGCACTTTACACCCTAGAGTACTTTAATAGGTACTTTAAAAGCTTTAGTAGAAATTTAATCGACTAAAAAATGGCAGAGAAATTTAATTCATCCTCCATTAAAAGCTTTAGTAGAAAAAACCCGTTAAGTGAGAAAAAATTGCCACTTTAAATGGAGTAATTTTCACTTGGTAAGGAAAGTATAATTAGAAACACAAAAGATTTCAAACAATTAAAACAAAAGAAGTAGAAGGGAAAGAAAAAAAAAAAAAGAAAAGAAAAGAAGAAAGGGAATAATGTACCGTTATACAGAATGACAGTATTCCTGATTCCTGTGGGCTTTAAAAAGAAATAATGTACCATTCTACAGGAATGACATTGTTCTCCTCTCCGATTAGTCCAAGGCGTCAGCTAATTTCCTTGGCTTCTAGTTGACAAACGCAGTTAATAGATCCAAAAGTTTGCATACAATGAAGAATAGATGTAAAGTGCTAGAATTAATACATTGTTCCATCGGTACTGATGAAAAGCAATGTACAAGTACTTGGAGAGCTTATAAGTACAGCTTGTTAGCTACATTTACAAATGACACTACTGATTTCAAACAGCAGTTTGGCCTTGGAAAGATGGAGTCGAAGGCAATTCATTGCTTCCTAATACTCTTAATAATATCATCAATTTGTGATGCCTCAAGATTGAGTCAATTAAACAAGACTCCTCTCAAGTCTATTGAGGTTAGAGATTCTTGTGTACACCTATATATTGCGAGTTACTCATGCATAATATGGTCATGCGAACAATCAATTTCTTGATAATTTATTTGTGGCAGAGCAAAGATGGTGATGTGATCGATTGTGTACATATCTATCATCAACCAGCATTTGATCATCCTTTACTCAAAGACCATGTCATTCAGGTTTAATTGCAGTTTGTATCCCACATAATTATATACCAAATGAGAAAGGAAATTATATAAAGGAAAGAGGCATTTGTGTTAATGAATAATTTTGCTTAAGATATTAAGGTTCCAAATTGATGCATTTCGATTTGGCAGATGAGACCGAAACATCAACCAGAAGGTCTGCTTGCTGAGAACAGACAGTTGAACCGTAGGAAATCAATCACTCAGTTATGGCAATCGAGTGGAAGCTGCCCCGAGGAAACCATTCCCATCAGAAGAACCAAACAGGTGGATGCCTCAGGCGCAAGCTTTATTCCGAGCATTAATCTTCATAATAAGGGAGCTAATACAGAACTCATTGGCCAAGCTCCAACCCTGCAGGTACCAACGAAACATTCTTGAGGGATAAAAAACAAGGTTGAACAATTTATAGTAGGAATTTTGCACCCCAAAAAAAAAAAATCTCAAAATACAGAAGTTATCTTTTTTGCTGGGACAGTTTGCGATCTGCATTTTTCTTTGGTTATCCACCTTAACTAAACAAAAATACAGAAGTACTTTTAGGGCCCGCATCAATCAAAATTGAATAGTACATCAATTTTCATTTTGCAATGCACCAATGAAAGTGAAGTAGGAATTTCCGGTTTGTCAAATATTAGTAAAGCATCTCTCTATAATATACAAAATAGACTGATACATGTCAAACTCTTTAAAATCACTCAGCTCTTGTAATTTAACCCATCAAATAGGAAAGTATTGACCATTTTTTTTTCCCGAGAGTGCTTTTAAGGTACATTTAATTGCTTAGAAGGATTTCTTGCCGCCGAATCTCGATATGGACTAACTTTATATAAAGGGAACTTACTTCTATCTTATGAGATATTAACTTATTTGCATCTTCACAAGTTTAAATGACTTTTTTCAAATTCGGAAATCTCTATATCCACAAGATTTAGTTCAATTCGTGGGAAAGTAACTATAGATCCTAATTCAATTCTCAAGACTCTTCCTCTCCTTTTTCCCCTTTAAGATTTGAAGTTTTTCTTTAAAATTTATTTTATTTGTGAAAGGGCAATTAATTAAATTTCGTCTGTGTCCAAGTTATCGCATTAAAAGGAATATATGTTCAAAGTATCATAATAGTATGCTTAAAATCCAAGGGAGTAAGGTGCTAAGGGTGAATAATTTATGGGTGTAAAGTGAAATTAATCCTTTTCATTTATGAATTACACAAGGGGGTGTATCGATATCACCACACCTCTCTCCTATGCACTAATTTTGATTTGTGGTGTATGGCAAACATTGATAATACCATGGAAATTCCTCCTTAACTCACATTCTTTCTTTCGCAAATTACCACCAAAAAAAAGGATAATATAAGGATCGAAAATATGATATCATCTCAAAAATCTTGTCTTCATCTTCATATAAGCCCCTTTTGAATATATATATATATTTTTTGGTCAATCAGCAACTTCATATGAGCCCATCTTGATGTTGAACTGATTTGAAAACTATGGGGTGGAGAGACACTTTCGCATGGCTCAAGTTTGTTTTGTTTTGTTTTGCTTGGACAAAGAAGAAAGGCTTGTTTTGTCTATTCTCTTCACTTTTTATGTACCTTATTTATGCTTTATGCTTTTCTCTTCATCCTTAATTTGGCTTCCTCAGTTTGTTGCTGCACTTGTTGGAGATGACCAGTATCATGGAGCAACAGCGAACATAAATGTCTGGGAACCCCAAGTTCAACAATCTAGTGACTTTAGCTCGTCTCAACTCTCGTTTACGGCAGGTTCTGATGTATCAAATTTTGACAGCATTCAAGCGGGTTGGCACGTAAGTTTCAATTCATAAGCATAATTTTTTCAAACATAAGAATTGCCATTTTTTTTTTAATTATGATATTGCCATACTTATAATTGATAGTGATTATTCTTTTTAAGCAACGATAGATATTGATCAGTTATTTTGTGTGTAATTGGAAAAAACAAAAACAAAAACAGGTCCACCCATTATTATATGGAGATAGCAGCACAAGGCTTTTCATCGCTTACTTTACTGTAAGCATCGAAGCATTTTTCCGCTGCCTAGAGGATCACTTCGTCTAATAAATCAGCTAGAATTGATAGAAATATATACTTACTTGCTTTTACAGATCCATAATTCTCAAACCATTGGATGCTTCAACTTGCTCTGCTCAGGCTTTGTCCAAACCAGCAATGAAATCGCACTGGGAGCCGCCATTTCCCCTCTCTCCACCTTCCACGGTGCCCAATTTGGAGTCGATGTTCTTATATTTAAGGTATAAAAGATTAATTTTTTCTACACTAACATTGTATATACTAGTTGGTGTGGATGTGTAACGCATATACAAAATTTAAAATTTAAATTTAATTAGACTTATTTGTCATGCATCTAAATCTGCCGGTGTATACACTAATGATTGATCCATAAATTAATATTTTTTAACATACACAAACCTAGATTTTTACTATGTTTGTCAAAGAGATGCAGCGTAATACTACATTTGTGTACTTAAAGTCTATATAGTCTAGATAAGATTAACCAGAATAATGGGTTGAATTTTGTTAGGATCCATCTCAAGATGTTTGGTGGCTACATTATGAAGGCACGCCAATTGGTTACTGGCCAAGTAAATTGTTTGCGGACCTAGCAAACACTGCTTCAGTGATCACATGGGGTGGTTCTGTTTTAAGCTCAGAATCTGATGGGCAACAAACTACTACACAAATGGGCAGTGGCCATTTTCCTGAAGAAGGGTTTGGTGGGGCAAGTTATATGAGGGATCTATATTTGGTGGATGAATCTTTGAAGTTAAAGCCCCTTGGTAACCCAACCACCTCCGCAAAGCAGCCAAATTGCTATAATATAACACTTGGAAGAAACGAAGGTGGGGGAGATTTCATTTTCTATGGTGGACCTGGGAGAAATCCTAATTGCCCATGATCAAGTTCAAAAGATTTCACCTTGTTACGTACTTTTTTGTTTTTAATGGCTCAAATGTTTTGTTTCGAAAACTGGAGCCCTAATATCTCAGTTTCTCATCAAACAAGCTAGAAGGCAATGAAATGTTCTGGTTTCTTTAAGAAATAATTAGAAGGCTACGAAAAAAATTCTTCTTGCTCTTCTAATAATGGCTACTTTGGTCTACAAGAATTAGAAGATGTTTTGATATACTGATAGCTGTGGGGATTTGGGAAAAGGACAGTGATTTGTGGTAATTGATATGGCGTGCAGCTTATGGCAATGATAGCAATCCTCCATACTAGTCAGTGTTGACTACGATTATACCACAACCCCTTGACAAAATTGTATGGTACCCAATTGATGATATGCCACTAGCTATAAAAGAGATCAATTTAACTTTGAATAGCTGAATGTATTTGATTGACTTAATTTACTGAAGTTGCAACCTTACAAATATCAATCGAATTCTCTTCCCGGCTATAAAGGCCTTGAGTTATTGATCTAAATTAGTTGTATTTGTGTACTTTGAGGCGTCATCGATCCAGTGAGAAACTAGTAACGCCTTCTTCTCCCTATACTTAGTAAAAATGACGCTGTAGCTAACATAAGTTGGCTCAACTAATAAAAATGGGTCATTTATTTTTATAAAAGATTGTGCGTTTGAGTCCCATTGTTGCTGCAAGGATTATTTTGGTAGGCAATTTATAAGAATCTTTATAAGCGATCAATGGTTCTAAGCATATCCTAACTCCTAAAAGTGATTAGAGTCGAAACTATTCAAACTTTTTCCTATAGAAAAAAAAAAAGATGGTGTTGATCCAATCAGGACTAACCCGTCCATTTTTCGCAATCATTCTTCAATGGCGTGACATCAGACATGTCCTTATGGCCCTCTAGGCCACGACCCTCTAGGCCACGAATCAAGACTCGATGTTCACGCTTTTAGGCCCTTAGTTACACACGAAGGCGAGAAACTTTGGGGAGAACCAAAAAATAGAAAATAAAAAACTATAAAAAGGGATACAACCAAAATCATCAAACGAAGTCCTTGTACCTTGTGCATAGTCGTATTAGATTAATTAAGAGCTATCCTGTGTCCTTTTACGAATACAATGACGTTCATGATTTATTATTCATTTGATGCAGATGTGCCACTATAGTTTAAGTAGTACCTTGCATATAGGTGCCGTCCAATTCCTGATTTTTCCACTGGACTTAAAGATTAACGATCTTGTTTGACTGTGGGATGAAGAGATAGAAGTGATAATTGAACATTCCTATGTATTAGACCCTTGTTTCATTTTTAACTTTTGTTTTCTTCATTGTCATTTTCTTCCCAAATGTTCCCATTTCCTTATCATGCGGTAAATCCAAAGCATCAGCTGGTTTACTTGTCTTCTAGTTTATGGAATCTATTCATAGATCCAAAGGATGCAAATTAAAAAAAAAACCGTCAAGTACTGTTCTTGTATGGAATATTATCGCCATATAATCAAGAACACCTCAGCAAAGTAGTAGGAGAGTTTATAAATCTTAGTTAGCCACAAAAGCATAAGCAGATCATCAAGCTCTGAAGTTTGAAGCAACTAGAGATTTGTGAAGATGAAGGTTAATCAATTGTGTTGTTTCATGTTATTGTTGATGATGATGGCTTTATGCGATGCATCAAGATTAATAAACTACTTCAACAAAGCTCCTCTGAAGTCTATCAAGGTGATCTAAGATCATATGTTCGTGCTTCTTCTATGAATATATCTGTCTGCTTTTCTAAATCTTCTTTATGTTAAAAATTTGAATGATCATCTCATGGTGATTTTTATGGCAGAGCAAGGATGGTGATGTAATTGATTGTATACTTCTCTCTGAACAACCAGCACTTGATCATCCCTCACTCAAGGATCACCGAATTCTGGTTTGTGAATTGCTTGCGACTCCAAAAAAATATACCAAAAAAAAAATTTTTTTTTCCAAAATTCCTCAGCAGAGGTACATTTAGCAGCTAGAACTTGGACATCATCACTCACTAGTTGCTTATATTTTTTTTTTTATTTTTTTTTTGACTTTGTTGGTTAGTTGCTTATATCTTACAAAGGACTAATGGAGCATTCACTAGAAAGGATTTTATTATGGTTAAAGCTGTGCCCATCTAAATATATATATATAAAGTAACTGAGCATTCAACTGTTGAGACCTGAATCCAATCTTTGCATGTGTTCATGAATCTTGTGCTCTTTGATTCGAAGAAATTTGTAAGCAATTGATTTTGCAGATGACGCCAAGTTATCACCCGGAAGGGTTGGAAAAATTGTTCAACAGTAGGAATGATGAGAAACCAATTACTCAATTGTGGCAATTGGCTGGGAAATGTCCACAGGGAAGCATTCCTGTCAGAAGAGGTAAAAAAGAGGATGGTTTCTTCTCTGTGATCAAGAGCTTTTTACAGAAGGATAAAACCAATCGCGAGAAGCTTTCAGCCGGCATGGAACTCATCAGCCAAGTGAAATCCTACCAGGTAGTAAACCTATTTGAAAATTTAAGGTGAATTTCGTATAAAGTACCACAACAAAGTGTTTGGCTCAATCACAAGTTTCAATTAGTCCAATTATGTTTTCTAATGATTCTTTTTCCCTCGTCTTGGACTTCTTCAGTCTGTAGCTAGTTATGCTATGGGAGCATATTATGGAGCAAAGGCAATCATGAATGTCTGGCAACCCCAACTTCAGCAACCTAATGAATATAGCTCGTCTCAGCTCTGGATAACGGAGAATTCTTTTGGTTCAAATCAGAACACCATTCAAGCGGGTTGGCATGTAAGTTTTTTATCTACCACCTTACCAGTCAATCAAGCAATTTGAGTTTTTTTTTTTTCAAGTAAATAACTAGCAACCCATTGTGATTTCACATATTATCACATAATCTCCCTAACGTTTTAAGATATTCACATTATGCTCTTATGATTTTATGCAAAGCAAAATTTTGATGGAAAGCACCCTCCATAACGTCATTAGTTGAAATGCAAGTGTCAGTCTTCCTTAAGTATTAAACTAAATAAGAGCCTAACCACTTTGCATAAAACTACAGGGGGCATTATATAGGTCTATATACAAAACTAAATAGTTATCAAGTAGATATTTATGCAAAATTATAAGGGGTTAAATGGATAATTATATAAAACCATAAAATGAGTGAGTATTATGATTTCATCCTGCACATTTTTGAGCACATCCAAATCAATCATCTAACCAAAGATGTTTTTAGTCTATATTCCACTTCGCACAAAATTACAAGGGATATGTACTTACGCAGATAAATATTAGCGAGGTGATATGATGATAGGAAAAACCACAGGGGTTTATTAGTAATTTATCCCTTTTAGTGAAGCACAACTAGAATGTTGACTCAATCCCTTGTAAATTAGTAATTTACTCTTTTTGGGTGAAACACAACTAGAATATTGATCAATGTAATAACTCATTGTGTATGATTGGGAAAAAAAAAAAAAAAAAACCAGGTCAACCCAGAATTATACGGAGATGCTAGAACAAGGTTCTTCATGCACTGGACTGTAAGCATCTTAAACCTTTTCCAAGAATCACTTTTGCTAATCATGCAACTTTAGTTTGATATATAGACTCTACATTTATGTCGACAGAGGGACAACTTTAAGTCCACAGGATGCTACAACTTGCTGTGTTCAGGCTTTGTTCAAATCACTAATGAAATTGTACTAGGAGGCTCTATCTTCCCCCTCTCCAATTTCAACGGTTCCCAGTCCGAAATTAGCATACTTATTTGGAAGGTAACTTAAGTAGCTCTTTTATTCATTTATTTAGTTTTTCAAGAACAAGAAATTTATTGGTGGGATGTATGTATTGTGCAAATTACAAAATGCAGTTTTTTTTTTCTCTTATGATTTTTGAAACTCATAGATTGCTTAAGTTTTGCTAGGATCCAGCACAAGATGCATGGTGGCTAGAATTTGGCAACACGATAGTTGGTTACTGGCCAGGCTCTTTGCTTACAAGCCTAGCACACTATTCTTCTTTGATTGAATGGGGTGCGCTAGTTTTAAACAAACAGTCAGATGGGGTACAAACTTCTACACAGATGGGAAGTGGCCATTTTCCACGAGAAGGTTTTAAGAGGGCAAGTTACATGAGAAATCTTGAAGTGATAGGCAGCTCAATGAAATTAAGGCCCCTTAATTACTTAAGGACCATTGCTCGGAAATCAAACTGCTATGATATAACAGTGGGAGAGAATGCTGATTGGGGAAATTACATTTTCTATGGAGGACCAGGGAGAAATCCTAGTTGTCCATGATGGAACTCCAAAAGTTTGACCATTTGGCTATGTATCCTCTTTCCATTCTCTCTATATTACAAACCATCATCAAACTAATTGAAAATCCCAATTCTCATATAAACCATTCATCTAATTTTTGTTCCAATCAACCCATTCAACAGATTTATGTTCCAGCCTAATCGTTATGATATAGCAATGGCATTAACAAGCTATTTTGACTCTCCCGGTAAGGGTTTACGTATTAGTAATTCTTTAGGAGGAAGATGAGTTATTCACATACCCAAAATATCGAAATAACCAGCATTTGATAATCCTTAGTTCAATGAAAGTCACAAATTTGCGGGTAGGTAGATTAGATTATGTTGAATGCCTTTGGCTGTTTATAATGAAATTCACAATTTTCACTTATGACAGAGCAAAGATGGTGATATAATTGATTGTGTCCATATCTATCAACAACTAGCATTTGACAATCCTTTGCTCAAAGGCCACTGGATTCTGCAGGTTTGCCCCATGCAACACCCCTCAAAAGAAAAATAAACAAAAAAAAAATGCAAAAATATGAAGTATATATAACACCATAATTGCTTGACGGACGGAAAGAAGCTATATGTTTTTCTTTTGCAGATGAGACCAAATTATCAACCAGAACTGGGATTTGCTGAGAATAAAATTTCCAACATTAAGTCCACTAACAATGAGCTTGAACAGAAACCAATCAGTCAGTTGTTGCAATTGGCTGAAAAGGGCCCAGACAGAACCATTCCTATCAGGAGGGCTAAGCAAGAGGATATCTTAAGAACAAGCTCTATGAAGACTAAGAACTTTGGAAGGAAGCTAAACACCAATTTTCCGAAAACTGGCCAACACAGTTTTCAGGAACCACTGTTTTGCCACAAAAAAAAAAAAAAAAATTAGCACTTACTAATTAGAAAAGAAAGAAAGCTACTTAGGATTTTCTAAAATAAATCTATGTGAATGCCACTCTTAAAGTTCTACCTGCATTATCCGTACTGAAGATTTAACTGCTGGAAATAAGCCAATACATGTTTGTCGATGAGAAACGTGCTTAATGTTTGAGGGCCAATTTGAAACAATGATCTTGTTGTTCTGCTCCTTTTCCCTTTTTTCTATTTTTCCCTAATCTTTTCTGTCTCGTGGGGGGTTCTTTAGTCTGTAGCTGCAGTAGTTCGAGAAGAAAAATATTATGGAGCGAAGGCAACCATAAATATATGGGAGCCCCGACTTGAGAAACGTAATGCATTTAGCTCGTCTCAGCTTTCGATTGCAGGAGGCTCTTCCGATTCAGATTTAAACGTCATTGAAGCAGGGTGGCATGTGAGTTTTTAAGGAAGTATTGTTCACATGATCACAATTCTTTCAAGTAGTGCAAACTTATAATGATAGGCACTCAATGAACACCCGTTAGCGAACTTAATTTACACTGAAACTATTGTATGAATGCGTACGCCCATATTTATTTGGACTCTTTTATTTCAACATTGTTCACGTTTAATTTTAATTTTTTTTAAAGAAACTATCACCTAAAACCAATTTTATATTAGGGCACCTGTTACACACGCCTTTTTTTTTATTTTCTTCAAAATAGAATATAAAATATGATTACTTAATCATTCTATTAATTTCTTTGTGTCTTAATTGGACGACAACAGATTTTTTCCAGAATTATATGGAGATAAAAAAACAAGTTTTTTCATTTATTGGACGGTAAGCATCCCCGCATTAGTTGATAGTTTAAAATTAAATTAATCACTTTCTCTTAAAAATACAGAATGCAGCTAAAATATGACATTATGTATTTATCGGTCTGTCTTCCATCCAACAATGAACAGAGGGATAATTTTCGATCAACAGGATGCTACAACTTGCTCTGTCCAGGCTTTGCTCAAACCAGAAATGAATATACATTAATGACCTTTATGTCCTGCTCCTTGAAATTATTAGGTTGGTTTAGTATTTGAAATATCGTCTCCCTTTTAGTGATCCCTCTTATTTTTGAAATCTTAACTGCTTACATTTGGAACTGTTCTATGAATTTTCTCTCCTTTCCTGACTGAAGAAGAGGGAAGATGTGATTCTACAAAATCAACATGTATCATAGGATGGTAATAAGAATTGCTTCTACAACACAGATTTACAAGAGCAATAATGGCCAAATTTCAATGGAATTGCAGACGTTACAATGGAGTAAAAAAATTCAAGAGGCTGATAATAAATTTCCATAGATGCAACAGATTCATAACAATGAATCTAGATCAGTTCAGTTCAATAATATCTGCTCCATCAAGCGTATCAACTTAGAATTCCAAAATGGGAGTATAAATCTCTCTTGCCTGAAGAATTCAAGTTATAGAGCTCATTTATAGATGTCAATAAGTACCAACGACAAATGATCAGCAACACACTGTAAAGATTTTTGCCACAAAGCATTAAATCCAGGCAAAAGTGAAGCAATTAGGCAGTTCAAAAAAGTAGACTAGTGCTTATTACGTTGCCCTAATGCAAACTTAACTGCTCAAATGCTGCTCCTGCTTCCTATGTTGCCTTCTTCTGTTTCTCGGAAGTACATAGACGGGCAGCATGGGTCTTCCCCTTCAAGTGAAGCCTATAAATCTCTTCACTGTTGCAAGGAACGTGACACAATTCACACCAGAAGTGCTGGAGGGTTTTCTGTTTCTTACCAACTTCGAGTTCTTGCAACTTGGCCCTGTGCTTTTGACCTTTGAAGTGTAAATCTAAACTAATTTGGTCAGTGCACAAAATTTGGCACAGGTCACATCTTGGTTGCTCTTTTGTGTTCTCCTTAACCATCCCATTCCCACACATTTTCATGTAACTCAGCTTAGCTTTATGCTTGTGACCTTTGATATGCATTTTGTAACATGATGGGCTTGGGCAGCTGACTTGACAAATCTTGCAGAATGTTTTAGGTCCATCACTAGTATAATATGGCTTTTGGTGTTGATTTGAAAGGTAGTTGAAGCTGCTGGGAGTCGCTTTCATTGGCATCACTGAGTGAATTGATGCACTGTTCTGAGTAGACACTGAAAATGGACTTGGATTCTGACCTGGAACTGGAGATGGCTTGACATTAGTAACTGAAGGCCTTATTTCATCTGCTGAAACCATGCTTATGCTCGGACGTGAAATCATGTTTGATGCAAAACCTTGTCCAGCATGTGAGATGAAGTTTTGCCCTAATATATGTGTAGCATTTGCTTCTGGCATTGTTACTTTAGATGAAGATGGCACCTGATACATGCAACAAGTGATAAGCAGAAGATTAACAATAAAGAACAAAACAAAGAGAATAAGAAGAATAAGGAGAAAGATCCACGATGCATGAGAAATGAGTGATTCCAATAAGATGAAACAAAAAACCAACGAAGAGAGCACAAAAATTGATACCTCAAATGAAGACCAAGCTAGTAATGAAATGTACTACACAACTCTCCAGCAATAAGCAACGATTACAAGTTTTGCAGGGGAAAAAAATATAGTAGAGAACAGATTGGAAAATCCTAAACTTCCATAATTTATATCTGCTGAAAAACAGAGAATGAGTGATTGGAACAAGCTGAAACAAGAAACCAAGAGCAAAATAACTGATGCCTTAAATGAAGACCAAGCAAGTTATGCAAATGTTTACAGGACTCTCCAGCAATAAACTAGGATTATACTTTTTGCAGTACAAGAAGAGTAGAGAGCCAATTGGAAAATCCTACCCTTCTATATTTTACATATGCTGCTCAGTTGTCCACTTAAACGAATTAAAGCATTGATCTATTGCTTCTGAGGTTGGTAATGAAGGATCATAGTTGTATGTTTGCCTTATGGCATTGGACAGCAAGATCATTTTGGAAATGAATTTCCGAAAAGGAATTTATGAGAATTAAGAGCTGGGAGAATCTGTCATCTAAATGAAAAAGATCTGGCCTTCAATACCTACAGGAATAGCATTGTGCTTTAAAGATAAATCTGTTGCAGTTAGTGGCTGAATGCTCTGCAAAAATGGCCAATTTTGCACATTTCACGAGTCATTGCCGCTGCACATACATGTTGCAGCTCATTCAGTCTGTTGTTCCATATACATTTCATGAGTCAGTGCCACTGCATATACATGTTGCAGTTCATTCAGTCTATTGTTTCATAAGTTAAAACAAGGAAGGATAGACAATATGAACCCCAATTCTCCTGTTGCATGCCATTGGGATGCAACCAATTTTGAACCACATAATGATTATCCTTTGGATTTGGCAAGACCTAAATTAGGGGACAGAACCATAGCAAAAGTTTGAAGGTAAAGTGACTTATATCATCCAGATATCCTTCTTTTAAGGGCTTTAAGAGATGAATCATATTTATGCACAGCTTAAACTCATGAAGAAATTAGTGCAAGAAAAAAGTTTTAGTTTTTAAATAACCCATCGTACTGGTGATTGCTTAAGATTAGGACCCGAAGATGTCAAATCATTTGCTGCTGCACTGGTGAGGCTTGATCTGGGGTTTGATGTAGGCCGTGCTATGGTAGGTGACCTCAAACTCTGCCTGAGAAATTGTGAGACATTTGGCTCTGGAATTGTAGCTTTAGATGAAGATGGCACCTAATATAAGGAACAAGTTGTCAAAATTGAAATAAGCAACCTGAACAACTAATGTCCAAAACGAATACCAATTTAGTAAAAAAGAAGAATGGGTTACATAGCTCTCCAGCAATCATCAAGGATTATAAGTTGATTAAAAGGAGTAGAGAATGATAAGGGCAAAAACCTACTCCCTCTATATGTAATTCATTTGCTCCCTAGTCCTCAATTCAACCAAATCAAACCTCGTCCCATGGATTTTAAGGGTAGTAGTAAAGAATCATAGTCATATCTATATCTTTTGGTATTATGCAGCAACATCAGTTCTAAACTGAATTTCCAAAAAAAAAAAAAAAAAAAAAAAACTTTTCAGTAATGTAAGAAGTGTATGCATCATTCTGTTATTTAATCTCAAAAAATCTAGAGTCTGCATTTCAGATGGCATTCAGTTTGGGCAGTTTTCTGTTGTGCATCTAAAGCTTATTAGTTCTGCAAAGATTAAGCTCATTTTGGCCATTTCAAAAATTCATTGCCGCAATATGTAGTGCTCCAGATTGGAGTATAGTCAATCTATGCTGTTACAAATGGTTTTGTGTTGCATCATACTTTAAAAGTTAAAACATTGAAAGAGAGACTGGCTTCATAAGTTGCGCAATGCAACGACGCTACCAAATTTGAACAGCATAATTAATTCTCTTACAATTTGGCATGATATATATTTGAGAGTAAAGAGATTTATTTTGTTCAGATAACATTCTTTTAAGGTGCTGAAGAGATCAAGCACATATATATATGCATGTCATAAACTAATGTAACCTTAGATGAAAATGGCACCTAATAATTAGGAACGAGGCTCGACTTACATAACTAATTTCACGAAATCTGCCGTATAAGACTAATCAAGCATCAAACTTTTGCAGCAGAACAGCCCCATGACCTCAAATCCAAATTGAAATACATCAAATTCTGCCATTTTTCACAAATATCACTTGCTGAGTTTCTATAACACATTATCCAACTCAACTTGTGCCGATCATTTGTGATAAGCCAGCAGTTTTATAGGTTCAGCAATCAATAAAATAGCATCAATTTTGAGGAACACGCGAGTAAGTAGAACACAAACAATTACAACAGAAAGACTGACAACAAGCAGCATAAGAAAATTTAGAGTCTGAGTCCTCACCTCCAAAGGTAACAGCTCTGCAAATTCTGCCTCAGACAAGAAGTAAGCAATCTTTTTCCTATATGCCAATTCTCTCTGAATCGCTTGCTCCACGGACATGATGTTGACCTCCTTTCCTTCAGCCATTTCTCTCTGAGACACCTGCAAAAGCTCAGTCTTAATAACTCGAACTCATTATTCAATCATATATCCATCCACTCTCACTCACCTCAATTTTCAGAATTCCACCAAGGTTTTTGTTTCTTAAGCAGTAAATCAACAAACAGGGGATAAGGGTTCATACAGGACAAGTTTGGAAATTTTCCAAAATCAAATCTTGAGCTTTAGCTGTATAAGTAAGCTTTAACTAACGCAATAAACAAACCACAATCCACCTTTTTAATGAAATTTGATAGTTCACGTAGTAAATTTTGCATCACAAAATGCTGAAGATGCCACTTTCACAATATCAAAAAGGAGTACTAATTGTTTGAAAATGCAGTTGAAAGATAGAAACTTTATAAGGAAAGAAAACAGTCCATCATGCTTTTGTGATGGAGATGATCATATTCACCAAAAGAAAGAAAGAAAACAGAAAATCAAAAGACTCTGCGAGGAAAATTTACCTTGTAAAGTTTGCAGAAGCGAGTACGAAACTGAAATATGGCAGAAAAGAACAGGGTTCTGGAGTTCTTGATGGTTTATTAGCCTCACAGCCTCACTGTGTGACTGTGTGCGTCTGTGTGTGTGTGTGTGTGTGTGTGTGTGTGTGTGTGTTTTGGTACAACCGAACATTTGAGTGCCTGTGGGCGTACAGGTTTTCAAAATGCAGGGTGCTACTGTATGCGACTGGAAAGAAAAGAAAAGAAGAAAAACAAAAATCTATGCTAAGAGTGTACGCGTCTAATTTTGAAACGAACTTGTCAATTCCCTCCTTTATAAATATGGATTCATATAGTTTCTGGTTGTGCTAAGTCCTTTTAGCAATTTGTAATTTTGTATAGGTTTCTTAGGCTGAAATGAACTATAAGACATTTTTTTTTTAGTCTCAAAATTGTAAGTTTTTGGAATTACTATTTTCTATGCATCACTGTTAAGAATTTTTTGCACTAGTAGATTTGAATGCATGACTCTAAAATGTTAGTTTTGCATAAGCAGCATGTATCTTAGTACAAAACAATTTGACAATGGCAATGTAGAAAACGCTAATCTATTTTTTCAACCTTAGAATAGAAACTAAAATCAGATTACATGTTTTTTTTAATCTTATGACAGTGACTCTTTGGAATTAATTTTTTTTTACATGTCAAATTTAAGAATTTTGTATACTAGCAAATTGGGACGCATGACCCAACCTCTTTTTGAATTTGAAGTATTGGTTTTGTATATACTGTATGTATGTATACTCGTTAGTGCAAAATAATTTTTATACTAAAAATATTAACCCATTTTTCACATAAATAATCATAGTTATTTTCAAATAAATAATCATAGTTAATTTCACATGTAAATCTCCAAGATATTTATTTGTAAGGCATACACCATATCAAATGAGATTGAGATAGCTCGAATGGTGTTCCATTGGTTAAGTTGATGTACTATTTACAAAATTAGACTTATTTAAGTTATTGCTTTCATACTTTCAATTGATAAACAGGAATAAAATTTACACATTCAACAAAATTATATAAGCATATATACAATGGTTGATTGCAAGATAACTATACAAAAATTAAATGAAAAAATATAAACAAATAAATGAAAAAAAAAAATGAGTCGCTTGCATGCAAATGGACATCACGCTTATGTAAATTTTGCAACTGAGTCAATGTTAATAAATCCATACGTGGGTATGTTTGGATAGGAGATTATTTGAAATATTACTTAAAATAATTAATGTAGCACTTATTACGATGTAATGTAGGCGAAATAGAAAGCAGATTAGAAAAATAAAAATGTGTTTGTCATGCAAACAAGTAATTTTTTGACAAATAATTCCTATGCAAACACACCCGACATCACCCTCAATCTAGATAAGTTTTAAACGACTTTGTTCTTCCTACATGCATTTACCTATGGTTCAACTGGGAAATTAAAATTTCCTTATTGATGTCACCTAGATCATCCATTTACTAAGTTGGATCAAATGTTCCACAAAGTAGGTACATTAGTGTTATAGGTTTTATTTGGGTAAACGTCACTGGGAAGAAGAATTCCATAAAAAAATATGATTGTAATGTCTACCATATGTAAAACTGATAAGAATCTCCCCATAATTTAATCATCTTTCTATCGTATGCCAACCTAACCTCTCTTTGGATAGATTTGACTGGTTTTTTCTCCGAGTAAAATGTAAAGTCTGAACATTACGGGTCTGTTTGTTTGGAAGGAAAAGGTTTTCCGGAAAACATTTTTCATATTTTCTTTTGTTTGGTTGTCAATTATTTTGGGAAAATAATTTCCGATGGAAAATAAATTACATCCAGAGGAGGAAAATAACTTCCTCATCTGTCTTTGTGAAGTTATTTTCCTTCCTAAAATGCAGTCTTCTTTTTCGCAGCGACATCTCCTCATCTCCGGCAAATAAAAGCTTTCAGTCCAACCAAAAGCCGCCGGCGACATCTCATCAGCAAACAAATCCCTCCTTCTTCGCAGGCGGCATCTCCAACTCCGACAAAGACCCAATTTCGGAGGTAACAGATCATCTCCCTCTCTCTCTCTCTCTCTCTCTCTCTCTCTCTCATTTTTTTTCCTTTAAAAGCTGCCAATATCGACGGTCATGTGTGGATGCGTTTGTGTGAGTGTGAGTTTGTGTGGTCCATTTCTCTAGTCATCGGAACTAGACTTTGCCATTGCGGCCGGTAACCATCTCTCTCTCTCTCTCTCTTCAGTCAGCTTTTTGTTTGTGAGCTGTGCCCGCCATTGTGGATGCGTTTGCTTATGCAGCCTCAGAAGCTTGTTTGACGGCATAAGCACAATCTGATTCCCGTTCCTACAATAGCATTTCCAACAAGGGTGAAGATTCCTCAAGTATTTCCAGAGGTATGATCTCTTGTTAGTTGTTTTTTCCTCCCTTTTCCTTTGAAAAATTGTCTAGAATTACTGGTGTAGATTCTTGAAGTTCCATTTGAATGAATTTTTGTGGGTTGCTTTTGTTTTAGTTTGTTCTTACCTGATTAGGGTTAAATCTGATTTGATTGATGCTAATGAATTAATTTGGCTGCTGATTTTTCGGGGTTTTAGACCATTTGTAAAAGTTTTAGTGAATTCATTGAGTTTGTGAAGCCACGGGCTGATTCTTACTGCAGCTGCTTGATTGAAAAGGGAATATAACCGTGGAAATACTTATGTCTTAATATACTGAAATCTTTCCTCAAACGAAATGAAACACAAGCAGGGCATCTTCCCAAGTCAGTGACTCTTGAGTAAGGTCTGATATTCCAGTTAGTTGTAGCTTTTCTACCAATGTCCTTAGGACGGTTGGATCTGCAGAAGAGTCATTACTCCTGCTGTAAAGAGACAATAGACAAAAGTTATAGGCAAAAATCCCGGCACGGATTTTCCTCTGTTACACGGATTCTATGCTTTCTATCATGGAAATCCCGGCACATATACACTTGTTCTTGAAATCTGCCAGAAGATGTGTAATTACTTTGATTGTTGGATGCAGCTGCCGTTGCCAGGAAAGCAGGGGAGCCATTAGTGATAGAGGAAATAATAGTTGCCCCTCCAAAAGCCCGTGAGCTTCGCGTTCGAGTCTTGTGCTCCGCCCTCTGCTTCAGTGACATCCATTTCTGGAGGCTCAAAGTATGAATCTCATGTCCTCTAATCACACGCAGATCAGCATAACTTTGCACATGAATCTGTACTTTGATCAAATTCTGACAAACTCGTTTGTTCTGTTTGAAGGAACCGCATGGATATTATCCAAGAATTTTTGGTCATGAAACTGTTGGGTGAGTATTTTCATTCATGCTACAAGTACTAACAAGGTCATGACTTTGCTCAAAGCATTTTAGTCAATTTCTGATCATGTTTGATTCTGTTTAATTTAGGGTTGTGGAGAGCGTTGGAGAGGGAATCGAGGATGTAAAGGTGGGAGACACTGTCATTCCATCATTCTTGGCTTACTGCGGAGAATGTCCTGATTGCACATCCATCAAAAGCAACCAATGCTCCAAATTGAGATTCGAATTGTCTCCTTATATTAGAGATGGGACTAGCCGATTTTCTGATACCAAAGGAGAGACAATTTACCACTTTGGCTACACATCAGGTTTCAGTGAGTACACTGTGGTGGACATCACTCACGTTACAAAAGTAGATCCTGCACTTCCAGCCAGTAGAGCATGCCTGCTTGGCTGTGGAGTATCTACTGGTAATGCCCATTCGCTTCGATTCTTCCTGGCTCAATTCGATTCGTTTTGAACTTCTATTGTTCGTAGGACCTATTTTCACATTTTCTGTTGCAGATTTCAAGAACAAGTGTATATGTGCCGGGATTTCCATGATAGAAAGCATAGAATCCGTGTAACAGAGGAAAATGAGGGCGAAAGTGCTATTCTGCTAGAACTCCTCTTTGTAGATTGACATTTGCACAAGGCTGCATGATGCTAAATTTTTGGCCTAGCACCAGCAGTCTCTGTCTCTGTACTGAGCTGCTGTACATATTAAGGTGGTTTATTGGTAATTGACCTTGGACTTTGCTAATCGAAAGCTCCATTGGTCGGCAGCAAGAATTAACAAATTATGAATAAATCCAAGATTCCATTAATAATTCCATTTAAGAATTCATGGTATAATATGAATAGATATTTTATAGAAATGATAATTTGATTATAATGGATAGAAACTAAAATTAACTTGTAACGAAATAAATGTTTTGAGAGTAAAAAAAATATTTGCAACATATCAACAAATATATCAGAAAATATTTTCAGTGACAAACCAAACGCCGGAAAATTATGAAAAAAGGAATTTGGAAAATATTTTCACTTAATAACCAAACACTGGAAAATTATGGGGAAGGAAGTGATTTTCCAGGAAAATGACTTCGACTGAAAATATTTTCCCTAGGAAAATATTTTCAGTCCAACCAAACGGACCCTACATTACAGTTTATTACATCCGTTATCAAACCATTTTAAGGACTTCAACTCTTTTATGGATTTGTTTATCTTTTCACGTATTATCTTGCATGGCAAGATCACAATCTATTGGCCTTAAGACTACGCATTTCTTGAAAGTAGTTTAGTTATTCATGCTAGATTATCTATGCATTTTTCCTTACCATGCCTGGTAAATAATCTATATAATCCTATCTGCTCGACTAAGTCAATGCTTGCCAAGATAACTTCTCTCCAAGTTAGATTTACCCCTGGACAACACTCATCCAATTCATTAAACAGTTTTGAGTGCTTATAAATGATGCAGTCATTCATGCATTAATGAAGACCGGCAACCTTAATTTGAAGCAGTTTCAATGGATTTTCTCTTTAGCAATATGCACATCTTTTTCTGGAAGCAATTGTATTGCTTCATGTTGTTAGTGATGATGAGCATGGCAAGCCAGAAGCTTGAGGGTAAGAGAATCTTGAGCGAGTCAAGAAGAAATCCTGTCAAGTCCATCAAGGTTATACATCACCCTTGTTCTCTGCACTTTTCTGCCCTTTTAAGTTCATGTTTGCTTTTATGTCCATCCAGGTTATACATCACCCTCGGTTTTTTTTTTTTTTCCCTTCCCCCTCCCCTTGCAAAGGCTTTGTTCTCAAAATCTTCTTTTCTTTTTGAAAGCTTATAATGATA